TGATATTGACGCCCCTGATGTCAAATGCGAAGCCTAACATGGATTGTTTTCACATATACATGATCATTTCTATTGAATAATAGTTTTTTTTAATTATAATTAGTATTTTTGTATGTATATTTTATAGTTAAATTTTATTATATATAACTAAAATTTATAATAAATTATATATATAATTAAATATTATATTAAATTTAGATATTTTTAAGCATTGATATTATATTTTATATTTCAAATAAACAATTTATATTATAATATAAGATTATTTTTAATTATAAATAATTTATTTTAAATTTAAAATTAATTCATAAATAAAAATGATAAAGAAAAATTGAATTAAAAAAAATTAAGATAATTTCTAAAAAATTTCTTGTAAAAGAATAATTCTTAAAAATATTTTCATAATATATTATACGTATTTAATATATAAAGATTAATTTGATTTAGTCTCTCAAAAAAAATTGATTTAGTTTTTATTTGTTAGCAGATTTAGCTTATGATCTTTAATTTATTAAAGTGCTTTTTAATCGATATGTCAATAGGCAATGTTGTAATGACATTTTCTTATTCCAACATGAAATTTTATCCAAAACCTGTCTCTATCTCGCCGATAATCACGAACTGATTGCCAATTCCATGAAACCAAGTGTTGTTTGTTTGAACATTTGATGTGCTAGCTGTGATGTGATGCACATTACGTGGCACCATTTGATACCACGTGTCTGATTAATGTGGCACTGGCCACCACACATTACGACAACAATCAACAATCAACTGAATTTCTTAATCTTGAATGCTATCATTCTCTCAACTATACAAATTGTGACACTCGTTTCGTTTGTTGTGGTTTTCATTGCTTCTTAGTATATTTTATGAATAGCAACTGCTTCAAAAAAAAAAATAGTAATTTATCATTTCAAACTTGCAACTTTTATTTTCCTTAAAAACAAACACTATTTCATATTGATTGCACTTTATGAAATGAAACTGAAAACGCTGAATAATATAACATGAATGTGAAGACATTCTTATGGTCCTGCTGACATCACTTCCTATGCCCAGCAAAACTAGGAATAAATGAGTTTCACACTAATTTTGCAAAGAATTTTTCATACAAAATGTTTACAATGGTCATCCCGGGATTTAATGGAATTTGATGGTTCTCTTCTTCCAATTCCAATAGAGCTAGTAAAACAAGAGAAATTGTGAGACACAAATCTATTGACAGCATGAAAACTAATGGACCTTTTACCAACTTAGTTACAGAAGATAGTTCTATGTTATGTCTCATAGAAACGAAGTTCTGCCATAAACTCTTGGCGTTTGGGGCAATACCATGCAACTGCTTTGGCTGAACCAAGTACTTGCAATGCATATTCCAAAGCAAATACGGGTTCATGTGCTTCAATAGGCCAATCAGGGTTCTTCAGATCAACTGTAATTCCTGAATCAACTCTAAAACTGACAGGACCAAAAATCTGCAACATATACATAAAAATGTCTTGGTTAACATTACAGCAGCATTAACAACCAAATGCTTGAACAATTCGCAGTGCAAGGTTAGAATAATGAGATCAGAAGAGCATGGACAGAATGGGGTAGAGGGTGAGACCGCAACACTGCGAGAGGCAGGATAGTGAAATTGAACAAAGAAATTTGTTTTTTTTAATAATAATAATGTACTTCCATTTATGAGCAAACGATAAGAAACTGTATAAATAAGAAAAAATCTCTTTAGCAACTTATTTATGAAGAAAAAAGTTCTGATTGGATAAAGTTCTTCATATGCAGTTGTAGAATAAGAAAATAAGAAGGTAAAATAATCTAAACTTCTATAAGTTACAATCAACTTATACATTTCAAATTATACATCTAACTTCTTTAAATATTGAGGTGCACAGTTGATTTCAACTTACAGAAAAAGATTAATTCATTTTATTTTTTTCTATTAGGGCTTATAAAAAAAATTATCCAAATAAGACTTGTATGTCTATTCAAGATGAAGCTTACTAATCGGCAAAACATAAAACACTGAAATCGTGCAAATTTGTGAAAGAATTAGAGGTACCTGCTGCTGAAGTGATAGTGTAGCATTGGGTAAAATCGCCTGAACAGCTTCCATGCTGGGCTTTTGAGAATTGAGAAGATCTTGCGTTACACCGGTTGCACCTGAAAGAAATTTGAAACCAGAAGGAAAATCCAGCCGGGCCTGAAATCGGGTAAGATCTAGAAAATCCCTTTGGAAGTTTCCATGCTGGGCTGTAAATGTGACGGATGCAAACATATCTGCTAGAAAGGAGGACTTTATTCCAGAAGCCTGAAGAAAAATTCCAGGTATACCATCTTCTACTTGTGCTCTTGCTGAATTATCCCCAAATGCAGTGGTTGCAGCAGCACCTTACCATTAAAGAATCCAAGGAAATAATAAGCATACTCCAAAAGCATCCACAGCTTCAAGTAACATGGAAATGCTCAAGGTCAAAGACCCTCAAGATCGGTGCCAATGCATTTGATTAGTTATTACTCTAGTTATTATACCCTCTTTTGAACCCAAACACTCCCAAATCCTTTCCAAGAAATGATAACAAAAACAAGCATTTGAAATGTTAAGAAAATATCTGACAGTTTCCTCACTTCTTTGCTAAGTAATTGCATAGTTATCTAAAGTTCACAGCCAAGCATCTTTTTTATGATTATCTGGATGGAAAAATATGTTAGAAACAAGGAGAAAATTTACCAATAATCCCCGAGGCTGACACATGAGGATTTGAAAGAAATACATCATGTGGTTGCACCAATTTCAACTTCGGAGCTTCACTTCTCCAAATATCAACTTTACTCCTGTAAGAAAAGGCACTTTTGAAGGCCAAGCCTGGAAGTAGACTAGGTGGTACACCATCATTTGGTACTCTATCATTTTGATTTTGAATATTTTCAAAATGCTTGGGTGTCCCCGAAGTGTAGTGTGCAGACAAATGATAAGCGGTGGAAGAATCACTAGTAGTCACAGAAGCAAGATCAACTGCCATTGAAAATGGTACATCCCAGTAATTACCAGTCTTGTCAACAAAAAGACCAGGATAAACTGCCTCCACTGTTAGATCATGTTGTGGAAACTACAACCACACAGCAACAAAGTTTGTATTAGTACACAAACCAAAATATAGTTCATTTCATGTCAAAAAAGTAAGCACAGAACAAAAGAAAATAGATCATTGATGTAATTTGGATTAATGTCCATGAACAGGTGGGTAGCTAAGGTAGGGTTAATAATAAACTGATAATTACAAGTCATTTTTGGGATGCAAACTTCATCCTCAAATACAGAAATTCACAATAAACATAGTCGTAGTGACTTCAAAAAATCTTGAAAAGTACATAACAATAAAATGGACCACTTATCAGGTAGCCAGCCCCTCATCCAACACCACTGCCATAGAATTTTAGAACAATATACTTGAGGTGAACACTTAGAAATGCAAAGAGAATACATTCAAATGCTTACTCTATGATGAAAGACCGCCTTCCCACGAGGCTTATTGGTATCGTCATATGCATCTAAGCCAAAAAGTAAAGTATCATCCTGCCCTAACTGGAACTCCGAAGAGAAGCCCAGGGCATACAAGGACTTCTGCTGTAGATGTCTCCCATAGGTTTTCAGCCAAGAGGAAAACCCCTTTGGCTTCTCCTCACTGCTCTTAACAGAGGAAACAAACCTCTGCAAATTGAATTGTCCCAATAAAAATACAAACCTGCAAAACTTTCATATCAGCCACCATAAAACTCCATCAGAATTGACAGAGACACAAACAGTTCAATTATAACGAAAACACATCCAAAAATTAACGTCAATAATGAAAACAACCATTGACTCCATATATGAGTAAGGGACCGATTGGTTTGTGAAAACATTTTATAATTTCATTTCATATTTTTATTTGTAGTTGCAAAAAAAAAAATTCATTATTTCCTATACAAACTTAAAATAAAAATGTCAATTTTGTGATTAAAAATGAATTTAAAAAAAAAAAAAAAAAAAAAAAAGGTTGTACAACAGGCCACAATGGTTCACCCCCAATGAACTCGAGTCATGACTAATCCAATCGTAGCAAATTGCACAGGAGCAACCTAACCATATCCAACCCTGTTGTATATTGTATAACTGCATAACATCAATACTATCAAGGTTTTAACATCAAGGTTTTCGGGGTCTCAGCAACCACAACTGTGACTGTATTTCTTTGCAATTTCTCGCAATATCAATGAACACAAGAAGACCACAATTTAAAACCTTGAATATAATGACCACCATATAATGTAATCATCTAAACTAAAATGCAACACAAGAACATTAAAAAAAAAAAAAGAAGAAGAAAAAAAAGACCACTTTCCTATAGTTATATTTCATCTTAAAACCAATTGGTAATAATTGAAGTTGTTCAACAGATATATAAGCTGCATCCCAAGAATAATTGAGGCAGGCGATTTAGACCATCCAACACCTATGTTGAACTGCATGAACATAGTATCAAGGTTTTAACATCAAGGATTTTGGGGTCTCCACAACCACAATAGTGAGTGCAATGTGCACAATTTCCCACAAGAAAACCACAATTCAAAACCTTGAACACAATCACCACCATACAATACAATCATCTAAACTAAAATGCAAGAGAAGAACATGAAATAAAAGGGCACAAGTGAAAAGAAGATAGAGAGATACCAATTATCGGATAAGGGGAGGGAGAGAAGACGTTGGAGAGTGATTCCTTGGGGTTGGGAATAGGAGGGAATGAGAGGGGCATGCATGAAACGGTGCATGAATTGGAGCTGTCTTGGCCTTGAAAGCCTTGTCCCTCGCGAGAGAGCCAATGGAAGAGGGTCTCCAGGAACAGGACAAGCCAAGCCATCAAGGGTTTGGGGAGTGGAAATGTCCAAATCCCAAAACCCTCCTCCATCCATTACCCATCTTAGTTTCCTCATACTCATCACAATCCAATGGAATCAACTTCTTCTTCTTCACTCTCACTTACTCCACCCAACTACACCCACCATGTTATCACCATTTCAAACCAATTATCACAATTCAATTTGCCAACATAATTAGAAAAAGATGAGAGACAGAAACAAATTTAAACGCCGCAGCCTATTACCATCTTTAATAACGCCTATTTCAGGATTGCAATTTGCAAGGCCCTCACTTTTTTTTTTCTTTTTTTTTTTTAATGTTCTCTAAAAGACAATTACGGAGTACTACTTTTAATATTTAATGATATTTAAGTTTAATAATTTAGTTCTTATTTTTATTTTTTACTATTTTTATGAGATAGAAATAAGAATCAAATATAAAATTTAGTTTAAACTAGTATTTTAACTTATACATTACACAGATTAAATGATTATTGTATAAAATTTATAATAAATTATATACAAATAAATATATATTGAAATATATGAATTGTATTTAAAAATTTTATAAATAGATATTTTTGAATATAAAATTTATTTCTTAAATTTATTATAAATAATTTATATTGTAGTATAAAATTATTTTATTTATTGATAGTTTATTTTAAAAATATTAAAATTTAATTTATGAATAATTATAATAAATAAAAAATTGAACTTGATAAAAAATTAAAAAAATGTATGAAAATCTTTTCGTCAAAGAAAAACTCCAAAAAAAAAATATTTTCGTGCAAAATATTAGTTTGTATTTTATATATAAGAATTGATATTATTAAATATTAATTATTATGTCATCTAATTAAAATTATAAATTTTATAAATTAAGAAATTAAATTTATGGAATTTATAAATTAGGAGATTAAATAACATAGGAGGACTTAAAAATGTAATTTAAAAAAACTATTAACTTTAAAGATGACATTTACTAAAACTATGATTAATATGTAAATTACTGTAAATAAAACCATATAAATTTATTAAATTGTGATTCTTTTAGTTTTGCTCTTAGTTCTTTTCAGCAAATTACAATGTTAGAAAATACAAAAATAAAATTACAATGTTACGAGAAATATTCGAGGAACAAATAACATAAAATTCATTAATGAGAGAAATAATTATGAAGATATAAGGAGTATGAAAAATAATTAATAATGTTAAGGTAAGTATATTTTTTTTATTTATCAAAATTTCAATAACGATGCTAAATTTTAAATTCATATCCTAAACAAATTGCTCTAACTACCAACTTCAATAGTTATAGGGTAAGTAAGTATATTAATCATATTCTATTTAATTTATATATCAATTCCATAAATGACAAATCAGAAGAAGGAAAGAAAAACCAGAATGATTCAAGAAAACAAGAGAAATTCCATCTTAGTATTATTATGTATTGTCAAATTAAAATTATCAAAAGCTTTTAATTTAAGTGGTTTAACATTTATGCTTCTTAATTAAGAACTATAATTCATTATCTAGCATTTATGTTTCTTAATCAAGGATCAAGATTCATTCCCCACCTAAGACACCTATTCATGATTGAAAAGTACCATTTTATCTATATAAAAGACAACCCAATAAAAAAATTATGTTTCTTTATCAAATAAAAAAATACTAAAATTAGAGTTATGAAGAACTCATTCAGCATGTAAATTTAATGATTTTTGTTCAATCCAAAATTTTGATATAATTTTTTGTTTGATCTTAAATTTAACCTTACCAAAACTTAAAGTATGCAATACGATTAAATCAACCTAATTTATTAGTGTAATATTCAAAATTTAACATTGTACAATTAAAATTAAACCATAAAATTATCAAAGAACCAATTCAGTTGATTGTACAGAGTTGTTGTAGACTCTTTTGCTACCAAGTTTGATTCCTATGAAATAAAAAATATATAAACCTTAAATTAAAATATATTTTACAGTATATATTTGAAAATAAATAATATAAATATATTATTATTTTATATAAAATATTATTAATTAAGTCAACAATTCACAGTTATTAAAAACTATAAATCTTAAAACGGGGTTGTGGCGATCTCAAATGTAATCTAAAGGGGCAAGTTATAGAAAAGTTAAAAGGGAAATGGAGGGAAATATGTACCCCTTCAGATGAACATGGGTGATGATGGGAAAGAGATCAACTAAGCAAGGAGTCTTGTTGAAAAGATAGAGTTGTCTTTCATGAGAAAAATATACACAGCTCCAAATGAAGCAAATCAAAACATCAATTTCATTCTAGTTTTAAGTGTTATACACAAGCTCAGCTGAACAGCAAAATTTATACTAGAAAAAGGAAATGCAAGTACAACACAACAAACCAACTGATAGGGGATTAATGTTTGACAGGTGACAAGAATTCTAACTATTGCCATTTGATTGAGGATCATCTTGACAAGCATTGGAGAACTAATAACATTTGCTCTCACATCTATGCAAAAAATCTCAATAGTAACAAACTGCTGGTTAATAGCACGTGTTTGATTTCTTGTGATCTAAAAGTTGCAATTACAACATTTTGCCTATAATTTCCCCCATAATACTAAATCAGAAGCCTGATATTTCCAAGCTATTGCCTCCAAAATAGATCAAATACAAGCTAGAAATGTTTTGGAGAGCTTCTCTACTAAAAAAAATTATTTTCAGCACAAATACTCTTAAAAATTCTTCTAAACTTGTATTCAAACAAACTCTTTATATACACTTTTTTATAGGCTACAGCATAGCATCAATCATCACTGTCACTGATAGAAAATATTGAACCATTAATTTGAGATTTGTCCTGCAGTAGTTTTCTATCTCTAAATCTACATAAAGAAAGTGTAGGATCATGCTTAGTGGCAGAAACACCAATACTCCTTGATGCTACCAGAAGACGATTCCCAATTTTTGATTTACTATTTTTGCCCCCTGATAGAAGATGTTTCCCAACTTCTGCTTTTCTATTTTTGCTCCCTGATGTAAGATGCTTCCCAACTTTTGATTTTCTAGTTTTTCCCCCTAATTTTTTGGGAACCAAGTCAACATGCAATGGAGCATGAAAGACATGTGGAGGTGTTTTGGGAGTGAACTGTGACAAGGAATCACTTTGTCTCTTTGAGCAACTGTGTCCTTTGGTGTTTGAATGAACTTCAATCTCACTATGAGCAGCTCTAGATGTAACATCTGAGTTTGAAGAGCTGCTATACTTGTCAATGCCATTGAAACCTGAAAAATATTTATTGATTATACCTGTGACTGATATCACTTGTGTTGACATCTTACTGAGACTTCCATGCATGGAGTTAGTATGCAACTCAACCAGATTTTCAACTTTATTCTCTGGCATTGCACATGGAATCTCATTGGCTGTACCGGTAGATTTGTCTCCAAATCTGCTGGGATATCTTTCTGACATTCCAGTGGCTACATTCTGCGTGTGATTTTCATGAGAAATTCCCTTTTCCACCTGCTCTTTTGAAACATGATTAGTAGCTTCATGCTCTTTCACTAAATATGCACCGGTTTGGAACCCTTCCATTTTCTCTTCCTCATTGTTGTGCTTTGCCTTATCTTCACTATTGCAGGTTGTTAAGTCCTTATGTTTTGAAAGAACAGCTGCATCACTGGGTGAACACGAAATGCACAAACACTTTAAATGCTTCACTTCCACGTGAAGAAACCATGTTCCTCTCATCGCAGGGAAAGCATACTTCATAGGGAGGGAATCAGGCAGGTAGTAGAAGTATGATTTTCGCTTCACCTAGGAGAACATGCAGTAACTTGTTGAGCACAAACTCTGAGATGCAGAAATTCATAAAATGATACATTGATACTAAAACATATAGAGTAAAGTACCTACCATTAATCCATTAACTTGGATCTCTCCTATATCTGGTAAACAACTGAAGTGTGCTTTCTCAAAGTCTCCTGCAGAACAATCATTGCACCAATTATTTTTCATGTCATAACCTAACATACTCCAGGTTGAACTGCAATTTCTCACTGCTCAGTTTTTCTCATTTTTGAAGTTTGTGGATAATGACAATGATCAAGAATCAACAGTGTTCCAGACCATTAATTATACAGAAAAACTTGACTGAATTTGAGAAAAACCATTTGATGAAAAGATTCAAACTTGAAGAATACTAGATTTTGAACATGCCACCTGAAACCCCATCTTTAAGAAAAAAGGAAAAACCATATCATAAGAAACAACCCAAATTGAAAAGGTGAAGCTCTTTTTGATCCATAATCTTCCTCATTAAATGTTATACATACAGTGCCAACCAAACTAGATTATCAGGCTTTGAGTGCTCGCAAGTGCAAATAAAAGAATCTCTTCTCGCCTCCACAAAAGAGTTCCCAGTAAAGGGGAAAAAACAGGAAAGGCTATACTTAAATTATTTGTTATTATCTTCTTTGTCTATTAAATTTCAAAAGTGAGATAGAGAAACTTGCTTCACTTTTGGCATTCTAGAAAAAACTAATTGCTCAAGAAAGATTTATGTATAATCATGTTAAATGCCAATAACTGCTGTCTTATCCGATTAAGAAAATAAAAGCAACATTTTCAGTACCAGGAAGATTGCCTTTAGAGTTCAACTAATTTGGACTTATCCAAGACAATTTAACAGTTCTCTCTGTAGGTGTCAAATGCTTTCTTTAGCTTTACTAAATTTCAGCCGAGCAAAAGGACAGTAATACCTACATGACCCTTAAGCGTGGGAAGATCTTAACATTCAAGCCCATAATAAATTCAATATGATATACATTTAAGCAAAATATTGAAAATTGATTAAAACATAACCACGGTTTCACTGATGAGTTGAAATAGAGCCATGTATGAGCTGACACCACTAGGAGTTTGCAAAGGAAAACATTGTCATGTAGAGTGGCAATCTCCAAAATACAACTAATGCACAAATTCAGAATGCTAGGCTTTCTCCACTATAATTCTATGCAAATTCATGACTAGGTTTCATCTTTCATCTTCAAACTTACTTGAAGAATGAAGACAAGTGCTAGGCCATGTTGGTAGAGAGAATAATGGATTCGAGTAAAAACGGAAATTGAGAGAAGTTTCATTTTAACACACTCCACAATAGATGCCCATAAATGCTTCAATATGTGCAAAAAGTAAGATTTGAAGCAATATAGGAATGCCAACGAGAACGAATCTATCTAAACCCTTGCAAAAAAGACCTTCATTCCCAACATAAACATGTAGAAGAAATATAAAAAATAAATAAAAACTCTTAAGACACCCTTCTCCACAAAGTCATCATGACAACAACAATTAACATCAAACAAAGTGAGACAGTGTTATTTAAACCAAAAACATGCAACACATGAAGGCAAGGATTGCAAGTGAAATAAAAACAGCAGAATCATAAAAATCTTCAAATGGGCAACTATTTAAACCAAGAACATAAAGTTTGGAGGAGAAAAAATAGATTTTTTTTTTAGTGTGGACCTACTTTTGAGTGAAGCAGCAGTAATGTCAGGAGGGGCATTGAAAGCAATGCGAGTGCCTAAGTTTGTGTCGGCAAAGACCGTAACGTCACCGTCACCGTCACCGTCACCGTCCATTCCGCGTGTTGTTCGGAGTTCCTAAGAATTCAGCTTGACGAATCCATGTGTTGTTCTTTGTTGGAACCAAAAGGTCATGAAAACCAAAAGAAAAAAGAGTAATGATGAAATAGAAGATGGAAACTTTCTCTATCTTTTCGGTTCATCAATCAGGCCCAAGGCCCATTCTTCTCGATTTTTCCTGTACCGATAAAAATAGAGGAATGCTTATGCTATATGTTAGGAAAAAATTTCTATGAAATCAAATCAAGAATCAATGGCTATCACAATAGGTTAGAAATAAGTTGTTTGCTTTTTATTAGTTGAAATTTGATTAAGAGGGGGTGGGGAAGTGACTTGACAGAATTTAGCGATGTTTTATAGCTTCCAACCCTTGTTTTTGTGTAAAATAAATTATTTTTTAAGAGCATAAATTCATAGTTAAAAATTGTTATAAAAAAAAAACACTAAAAATATTTTTTCCTTACGAATAAAATAAAAATAATTCATCCAAGGAAAAGAACAACTTGTGACTCGCATTGAAAAAAATCTATTTTCTATAATTTTTAAAAATAAATAGTTAATGGTCCTTGGTCAATGGCAAACTGAAACGTTTAATTTATAAATACTGAGACCAAAATATAAAAATAATAAAACATAAGAATCAAATTAGTAATTAAACCTTTTACTTTTTACAACTTAAAATAGGTGGTGTACAGAAAATATAAATTAATGACTTTTATAATAAATAAATAAGAAGTCATACTAACGGTAATATACAATTGGTTGTCATTGTATATTTCATGATCATTAAACTAATTTTTATTAATTATTTTTTAATGTTATTATATGATTGAAACCAAAAATGTCACAAATATTCTACAATAGAGATGTTCTTAAGCAAATGTTAATTTTATTTGTTATGTTAGTGAAAAATTCAAACTTACATTCTCTTTATCACTTCAGCCTTATTTCTCTCCCAAATCACCCGATCAACTTTATAACTCGTATGCTAAAAAGTGTTGAAATATGAATCAAATTCAAAAGCACATCCCTCAACAATATTGTTAAGGTTCTCCAATCCCCATTTGGGTGAAAGAAATTGTGTTAAGGACCTAATACTAGAAAGATTGTTATAAAAACTTTCATAATTAAAATGCAAAATATATATTACCCAAAAACTATCTGTACTCATCGTATGTATGCTTCCAATCATGGCAATCATATCAATTTGTATAACTTCCACAAAACATTTTTGCACAAGTCTGCATTTTCATTATCAATTGGCCACTACGTTATATTCCTATTGAATTAAATTTATTTGAGTTACATCTAATAAGACATTAAAATCAGTATATCATTGAGAGAAATTAAAAAAAATATATTAAAATTATTTAACCCAAACATGCCTTGAGACGCAACTGATAATAAAGCAAGTAGAGTGATCAACACGTGCTATTTGCTGTCCCAGGTGTTGAACATTTTCGTGAGATTTTCAAAGAACAAGGTTAAAATTCATATCCATTTCTTAACACAGATTTTTAAAATTTTATTAAAACCTTGCCTTTTTTGCATATATGAAAAAGAGATGATGAATATAATTTTAGGATCCATTCCTGGTGACTGGTCTGAACCCCCAAAACTTGTTTTACAATCGGAAGGCAAATCCGTGAGATCATATAGTTCTAATTCTCTCAATCAACAAACAAATGCACAACTTTAAGTAAATCTTCTGAGTTTCATGCATTTAAATTTGGGGTTACCTTTTCTCTGAACAACAAAGGATCTTCATTCTCCATATCACCGTGCACACGCGATATGAGGAGAATGAATTAAAAGCATCACCATTGGATCAGCTTATTAAAATATACGACAACTCACCCAAAAGAAAAAAAGAAAAGAGATAACAATTAACACTACACACCCCAAACCATTGAATGCATTGGCTACAAAATCTAATTTTAACCTCTAATCAAAACTTCCAAAGAAAAAATCCAAGTAATCAAGGAAGGATCCTACGTCGACGCCGTGGAGTCTCTCTCTTCACATACATTTTCTCCATCTCATTCAGTGGTCGGCTTGATCCATCTGGCATGCTAGCAAATTTCCAGCCACCACCACCTCCTCGTTTTCCCCGGGATCCCAATTTCTCTACTGTAAAAGTCCATCCATCTGAAGGGCGTCGTCGACTGTACTTGTGGCATTTTACCTCTCCAGCCATCTGCATCCAACCAAAACCACATTACGCATCATGATCAACAAACAAAAATCTGACTAGCAGCACATACAACAGAGAAGAGACTGAATATGGATTTGAGGGGAGCTGTTCCCCCATAGACCATAGCAGTTGTTAAAATAGGTATCGGTAAAGCAACAAGTACAACAAATACTTGTAAGAATAGAGTATGCCACAACCATTTTTGAACAACTATTTTTTTATCGAAAAGATTTTGAGAAAATGGAAAAGGAAACTGGACCGTCCCGGCCGTAGGCCGAGTACCTTCTCGGAAGGAGCGAGTCACACTTCAAGCCTTTTCGCCTTCTCGGCTCAAGGCTGGAGGACAAGTGGACCGTCCCGGCCGTAGGCCGAGTACCTTCTCGTTGAACGAGAACCGCGGAGCACCCTAAACCGAGTAACTTCTCGGAAGCTAAGGGCTACAAGGCGTGTTGGGACAAATGCAGGCCCATCTACCGCCAAGCCGAAAGACAATCTCGCCTAGCACCACATAAGGGTCTCATTCACCCTTAATGAGACCTACTCGGCCGTTATCCGAGAAGGGCCAACCAACGACCAGGCCCCACCCTCGCGCGCCAGTTACCTTCCAGATCGAAACGGCCATGAAGATCCCGATAATCGCGGGGCCCACGAAGCCCATAACACAAAAGTATAAAACCTAAAACCCTAGAGCTAGGACGACAGATTACACTTTTGAATGCTCTGGCTCTGAGGCACGATCTAGGAAAAAACCCTAGTCCACCTTTTGGCCGGAACAGAAACTAAATAACAATCAACTTTTATCTCACTAACGAGGCCAGCTATATGGATTAATTGATGCCATTGGACTCTACAAAAACATATTTATTGTAACACACTCACAAGAAATTTCGGCTTATAATGGGTTCTCCTAATGATTTTACAGATCTCCATCTACCATTTTTAGTCGGACTATCCTCCATTATATTTATATTTCTTACTAGAGCTTCTATATGTCTTTTTTTTCTATTTGGAGTGTAGACAATTTTTTTCATAATTTATACGAACCCTTCTGCAAGACTTGTGTGAATCATAGTAAGGTACCTTCTTTGACCAGTTTACTTATTTATAGTACGATGAATATATATTCGACACCTACTTTACATGCTCATTCATGTGCTGGCTGGTGACTTCTGATTCAATTAAGATTTCACACTAATAAGAATTGGAAAGAAAGCCAATAACAATGCAAAACCCGTACTAATTTGTATCTTTATTACATTGCTGTATTAATATTTATTCAATTTCACAGTCGGAGAAAAAATCGGATTGTCTGTTTTATTCTTGAATACTCAATTTTGAAGTTTGAATATCGTATGCACAAACAATAAAACTTGGGATTTGTTATAGAGTTCTTGCAAATGAGGTTTTCACCATAGCATGATCATAAACCAGTTAAGAACAGATAGGCAATATAAAAATTATGGCTGGCAGGAATGGAAGCTTTGTTGATAACGTGGAAAGTACAAACCATACACATCACAACAAAAAAGAATATATAAACAAGAACAAACACAAAAATTGTTCTACAAAGACAACAAATTAATCAAGGGAACTCACTGTTAAAATAATACAGAATCAGGGAGAGCGAGAGAGACAATAAAATAAACAAAATTATACTAAACTAAACTAAATCAGAGAGAGAGAGAGAGACAGACAGACAGACAATAAATTAGTCAGTATGACTCACTGCTGAATCATTCAAAGTAACTAACTGTCACAGAACAAACTACACTGAAGTGTAATGAATTGTCACTGCACTTCTACCCAGTAAATGAATTGTCTAGCTAGTATATTTGATGTCAGGTAAACTAGTTCTCAGTTTGGATATAAATTGAAGGATTACCTCATTTCTTAGAGTTTCAAGTGTATTTATAGGGTATGAAACATACAAAGTTTAGTTTTAAAACAAATTTTGGGGTTGAAAACCAATATTAAGTTAAAAAACAAGTTTTGGACCCCAAAGCCAATATTTATGGTTTTGAACCATGAACCAATTTTCAAACTGGTCTCAAAAAGTCCAAACACATTTTTAAAAAATATGCATATGGATTTTAAATCCAAACCAATTTAAATGGTTTGGTAAGGATTTTTAAAAAACTTGTCAAGGCCATTTAAAAAACCTGCCCACACCAAGACAATACAACAGAGGGCAACTAATCCCAATTCCCATTTACTGGCCCTCCGCATTTGGAAGACCCGAGTGTTTCCGGTATCAAAGTGTCTCTTGTCCACTAATTTGACATTTGCTTATAATCTTATATACCAAGTAGAAAAAGAAGTTGGACTAAAGCTAAATTCCTCGGCCAAAGCACTCTTAAAAACAAGTAAATTAAGGACCAAAAGGAAACAATAACGCAATAGAATATTACATCAACATTTTTCGTGGTCCATCAAACATTCAAGCTATCTTGATGTTATTTATGGTCACTGGTTTTTTTTTCTTTTTCAAAATGCTAAATGCATCAATAATAAAATCAACCATCAAAGTCTTCACTCTTGCACTCCATAATCTTTCCTTTCAATAAATTCACTAAACTAAGTTTTTTTACTATCCATACAACCATAACAATAAACAATTTAATCCCCATGATTTGTCCTATAAAGTTATCAAGATGTCAGTTATAGATGCTCAGCTTTACATTATATCTAAATGTTTTGCATGCTCGTTTCTGCATTGATGCAGACTTGACGCAGAAGCTATGAACCAATGTGCATTGGCGCAGAAGCTATGAACCAATGTGCATTAGCGCAGAAGCTATGAATCATCGCTTCTGTGTAAATTCATGGATTGGACTTGATTACATTGTTGGATGTGCCAATTGGATGTGTGTCCAAACACACATCATATATAATTACAAACAACACAAATCTCACTAATATGTCATGCCAAACTAAACTCCCATCCCATTTACTCATGTTTTAATTTTTTATTTTCAACTTTTAATTACAAAACTATCACCTTGTATTCAAAGATTTGTATAGAAAACACTGATTTTTTTTTCCTGTACAAATCTTTGAAAAGAAAAAAAAAGATAAACAGATAAAAAATAATGTGACAATTTTGCAATTAAAAAGTAAAAATAGAAAAATGAAAACACAAGTAAACAATTAATCTGTACCTATTATAAAGGGGATAGGGTTTTGCCCCTAAATTTATACTACTCACTCATCTACTCACTATTCGCAATAAAACACAGTTACTTACTTTAAAATCTTAATATATTTTTTTACAATCATCTACTCTGAAAACTCCTCAAGAATAAATATATAGAATCATGAAGTCCCTCTTTTCCCTACTAGTTTCTGAAATGAGGATATCAAACACAACAAGGCACACAACAGAAAGAACATGAGATATCTACATAACAATGTACACTCTCGAGAGACGTTTTCATTAAAAAAAAAAAAAAAAAGTATAGACTAATGGGCAAGGGAGGGAACTTACTTTCTTTTTGTTGAAGTTCATCTTCTCGACAAATTCTCGATATAGCATCTCATCCTCCTTTTTGGAGATCTCGTAGTGCACCTCATCCACATCTTTGGTAATGCCATCCCACCCCTCCGGCATTACCTTGAAGTCCGGCTTGTAAGGAAGAGACGCCACATGAAACTCCCTATCATGAGAATTAAAAAACCTGCAACCAAGAAGAACAAAAAATGAGCATCAAATTGACACAAACCAAACAAAGCAACGAAAGCGGAACACGGACTCGGGAAAAGTATCGAGCAAGAGCTCAACGGAATCGTCGAGTGGGTGTCCTAGCTTCTTCTCCTCCTCTTCCTCGATCTCCTTAAGCCAGAGAATAGCGTGAACTCTCTGCCGCATGATTCTGTAATCCCTAGCGAGCCTCTCCACCGTGTAGACCTCGGGATTCTGCTTGTGCAATCGGTACATCTCCGATTTCTCCGAGTCCTTCAGGTACGAGCCTCGCGCGCCGGGCTCCGTCACCTGCTTCAGCATCACGCTCGTCTCCGACAACCGCCGGGTCCAGCTGTCCACGAACGCCTTGCCGCGGCGGTTCTCCGCCTCCAGCTCGCTCACTCTGTCCTCGGTTTCCTGCAGGTCCGCGAGAACCGCGGAGGGAGATTGAGATTGCGGTTGCGACGGCGTCCCGTTGAAGTGGTCGCCGGCGATGCCCGTGGACCACGACGAGGCGGTGTCCCACCCTCCCGCGTCGAAGGCGCCTCCTCCGTCCGAACCGGTGGAGAAGGAGAAGGCTGCGGCGGGGGCCGGGCGGAGGAGAATCTCGTGACGGAGCGACGCGCCCACGTGGCGCGTGGCGGATGCGAAACGTTGAAGGGTTTGCATTGCGAAGTGTGTGGCGGCGAGTGGAGTGACGGAGAAGAAGTGAAGGGAACGTGTTTGATGAATTTTAAGGGATTAAAATGATATTTACTGGTTCATTTAACTAATTGTTTTAAAACTTTAAATTTTTTAACCTATGCACTGGTATATATATGTATATATTATATTATATGATCTACATCATTATTAAATAGTTCTAGCATAAATTAAAATAATATTTTAATTTTTTTTATTGTTACACTAATAATATTTTAATTGAATCGGAATGAATTAGATATAAATAGGCTATAATATATTTATATTTTTTTAAAATTTATTTAAAATCTAATTTGTCTAACATATTTAAATAATAATAATTTGATATTTGTAATAAATTGTCATGTTTCGAGTAATATTAAATTTGATCTTAATAAGGTCTTAATTCAAGTTGTATATATAATAATATTGTAGTTGAGAACAGAAATTTCACTCTTTTAGAGTCAATTTAATACATTATCAAATATAAAGTAAATCCAAAAAATATAAGTCTTGGTAGAGTTATGAATTGCTCTATCACAACTTGAGATGAAAAGATAGACTCATCTTTTGATCGAAGCACAAAACAGGTCAAAACAAAGGAGGAAGATACTGTCATTGATATAATTACAAAGGAAATTCATATTCTTTGGATAACTCACAACGAGTCTTCAAAGTCATGTATGGCTAGTTTGTTAGACTTGGATAGGGGCATTATTAAATTAGAACAAAAGTCTTCAAAAAGAAATGGAGGCTTCTGATGAAGACTTATTTAATGAGAGGGTGAAGGACGATGAAGGTCTTATCTTTGATTTAAATCCCTACTCAACTATTCCTATTATGCTACAAGAATATAAGGAATGGTATGCTCCTTAAAAGAATTCGCTTATTGTGAATGTGTTAGGGAAGAAGATCAATTTTAGTTGGCTTGAAAACAAACTACAACGTGAATGGGCTAAGTTAGGATCATTTTGTATTGTTGATATGCCACATGATTTTTACTTGGTACAATTTACCGTGGAGGATGACTATAAACATGCTCTATTTGAGGGGTCTTGGATGATTGTTGATCACTACATAATCATCCAACAAAGGATGTTGTTTTTTTGAAAATAACTACAAAGGTGCATCAAATAGCATATTGGATTCATATTCCTAATCTCCTAATTAAACTTTTTAAAAGACAAACTTCTTTGGCAAGTGGGGGCAAAGCAAGGTATTATGCTGAAAATAGATAAACTCACATTTATTCAATCATGTTATTGTTTTTCCCGAATTTGTGTTGAAATTGACTTGGTAGGAAATTGGTTTCACATATAAACATCTTAAGACACATGTTGAAACTCGAGTAGGAAAGCCTTCATTCAATTTGTTGTGAATGTGGGATGTATGAACACAAACAAATTCATTGTTTTTTGTTCATGAGGAATTCATATGGTTCCAAAAGTCTCACTACAAGAGATAGTGTCTTGGTGATAAAAAAAAATACATGTTATTTCCATGGCATTACTATTATCTAAAGATGAAAAAATAAAGTTGAAATGCTCCAAGATGATACAGGAAAGTAAATGCATGATAAGCATGAGCTTGAAGACCATGTCACAAATTGTTAAAAGGTTTATATATTCCTTTTGAGCTCATGGGTCATTTTCCCATGTTGGAGGATAAACATGTGCAAGAATTGGGCAAACCTATCACTAATGTAGAGATACTTGAAGTTATAAGACAAATGGGGGATTCAAGACTCTATGTCTAGACAGATTCAAACCCACATTCTATTGTTCTCAATAGGGTACAACTGGTCTCTCTTTATGTGCTCTTGTTTGTGAGTGTGAGGAGAATCCTAGTAAGATTGGTGATTAATGACTCTCATCACTTTAATCCTAAAAATGGACAATGTAGCTTTCTTAAAGCACAATAGACCAATAAGTCTTTGTAATGTGTCATACAAAGTCCTTACTAAGGTATTATCCCACCATCTAAGATCTATCATGGATAGTGTTGTTAGCCCAAACCAATGCAATTTGGTTCCAAATAAGCATAACAATGATAATATCTGCATTACTCAAGAAGTTATCCATCACGTGAGAAACAAAAATGGTAGAACTAGTTGGATGGTGATTAAGATAGAACTTGAGCAAGCTTATGATAAACTAAATTTGAGTTTTGTGAAAGAAACACTTCATAATATTGGTCTTCCAAGCTCTCTTATTAGTCTTATTTAGACTTGCATCTCATCCCCCAAAATGAAAATGTTGCGGAATAATGAAATGCTTAAGGAGTTTTTCCCTTCAAGTGGGATCTGCCAAGGTGATCCAAAATCACCTTACATATTCATATTATGCACAGAATGACTATTTCACATTATTGATGTGCTAGTTGAACATAATATCTAGTATTGTGCATGGAACGACTATTTCAATTGAATAGGTATGGTCCAAAGCTAGCCCATCTTTCTTATGCGAATAATCTTGTCCTGTTTGTAGAGGCTTCATTACAATAAAACAAGAATATTCTTTTCCAAGAATGTTCCTCGGTAAGTTTGTGATGAAATTGGAACTTCTTTTGGCTTTAAGAGAACGAAGGACCTTAGTAAATACTTGGGGTTTCGATTATTCATAAATAAAAAAAGTTGATAAACACATGTATACAAGAGTTATAGGGAGAGTCAATAGCAAACTAAGTAGTTGGAACACTTGAAACTTGTCATTTGCTAGAAGACTTAACTAAATTAGTGTTTGTGGCTTTGTCTTCTTACACCATGCAAATGACCTACCTTCCCTGTCAAGTATGTGATGAACTTGACAAGAAAAGTAAAGGGTTTTTATAGGGTAGTGATCAGCTTCATAGTCACGTGCATACAATTTCTTGACCAATTATTTGTTCACCATGAATTGACTATTTATGATGAAAACTCGTTTGCAGCTTTATCAACAAGAGAACAAATTATGGGTTCAATTCATTGTCCAAGTGCAACTACATGAATGGATTGCTAACTATTATTATTAAGAAGTCAAATTTGTCTAATTTATAGAAAAGAGCATGTAGTGTTTGGGACATATTCCAACAAGGTTTAGCTTAAAGGATTGGTGATGTTCGAGAAATAAAATTTTGGTACGTTCACTAGGTTCCATCCATCCCTAAGATGATATTAAGAGCTCTACTATTTGTTCATGCTTTAGGAAATTAATAAAAAAAAGTGGTTGAATATGTTGATTAGCACGAAGAATGGGATTTAAGTAGTATTAAACATTTATTGTCTACTAGTTTTTGTTATGATATTCTAAGTCTCCCTCCCCCATGTTCTGGTGTCGATAATGATGTGTTGGTTTGGAGTAATGCTTCTGTTGGAATTTTTCTTTACAAAAGGGGTATGAATTATTATGCCCTACAAATTAAAATTTCCGTCAAAGGCGTTCCAACTTTTATGGAAATGGAAAGGTCTATAACATGTGCATACTTTCCTCCAACGTTTTGCTAACAACAATCTTTTAACAAATGAATTGTGCATGCATGGTAGAATATGGGATAATGCAAGGTGTCCCATCTACCATTTTGAATTTGAAATAATGATACATGCTCTTAAGGCCTACATAATGACAAAGGAAATATGAAAAATAATTGCTAATAAGAGACTTTGTGAAGTTTTTACAATATATTGGTTTATTTGGCTAGAAGATGATTTAGCTAAAGAATGGGATATCATGTTTGTTGTTATTATGAACACCATTTGTCACATGCGAAATAATGTTGTTTTTAACAATGTTAGTCCTAATATTAATGGAGTGGTTGCTTAGGTGCAAACTAAACTACAGAAAACATTTGTTTTCTCTTCCTCCTTAGTTATGAGACCCCCTTCAATGACTAAAATTGCTAACCAACACATTTCTTAGTCGTTTCCTCCTGAGAATGCTATTAAAATCAATTGTGATAGAGTTGTGATGATTAGACAAAGAGTCACTTGTGGATGTATCATTAGAGATCACAATGACGCCTTTATTATGATTTTTTCTTACAAGATCAAGGTGTGTTTAGTAGTGCAAGTTGAGCTATGGGGTATTTATTATGTGCTTAAGCTTGCAATGGATAAAAGTATTCTTAATGACATATAAGTGGAGCCAAATTCGGCCATTGTGATTCAATTCTTGAATGAAGGGTGTAACAGGAATCATGTTTGCTACTCCCTTTGCAATAAATTAATTAGCATGGCATAAGAGATTTATCTTGTGAATTGTAGACATGTTCTTAGAAAGGTCAATCAAAGGGTGTCCAAGTCTTTAATTCTCCCTCAACTGGGATTTAGATAGCTTTGTTAGCAAATATTTCTACTGTATCTTTCTTTCATGATTTTTGGTTGTGTTTAGTCCCTTGTTGCACAAAAAAAATTACTAAAACAAATTTTAAAATGAAACTTTTTTATAATTAATAATATTTTTTGATGAAAAAAATAAAATTATTTTAAAGATGGACCTTAAAAAATAATTATATTTATATATCTTTTAGAGATGGGTCTTTTAGAGTGAACTTTTAAAACTACAAAAAGTGACTTTTGAGTTATGATCTTTGAAAATTTTATATAAATATTAATCCAAAATAATTTTTTTTTGAAGAGAGCCTAAAGTAAGGACTTTATTGATATCTTATGTTTAGGTTAGCTTTGCACTCTATTATCAATTCCTTTGGTAATATATTTATACTAATTATACTGATAAATAAAGGAGATATTTTTCTCGACTTCTTTTTTATCTCCATTTTGTTGAGACATTTTTACCCTCAAATCACATCACAAACGTATCGATTGTTCTTTATTTCTTTTTCTTTGGTTAATGTTTTATCTCACTTTGATGGATTATTTCAAACCAACAATTATGTTTACACTCATTCACCCATTACGTATAACTTTCCTTTTTCATCTTACTTTTTTTTTCCTTTACTTTTTATTTAAATAAATACATTGAGGCACTCCCCTATATACTAGTTTTAATGATAATATAATTTGATATTTGTAATATTTATAGTTTTCTTATATTTTATTAACATAATATTTTAATATACA